CTGTGCAGAACTTTTTCAATTGATATATGCATATGTCACCATGCTCTTCTTTTGCAAAGCCTAGTGCAGCAGTGTGTTTGTGTCTGGATCTGTGCAGCTGACCGGTTGGGGGTGGGTGGAGGGGAATGAAGGTACTTGGTTGTATCCACCATGTAATGTTCATTTATCTGCTCCCACATTTGTGGCTGCTCTCCCAGTGGTCCTAATGCCTACACTGGCGCATTGGGAGGTTAACATTCAATGCCGTCCTTTGTTGAATCGCCCCACCAGTGTTGCCTCTGTATACATTTGTCACACATTTCAACAGCAAAAACTGAAGTGATGTGGACTTTGAAGGAAAGGGGAGAACCGGTTTAGAATAGGACAGTGCATTTGTGTGAAATTCTGTAAATGAGAGAACAGAGGTTTGACCTCAGAGCACCTTTTATGCTGAAGGGGAAATAGTTTTGTGATACTTATTTTGTATGCATTATATGTCTAGATTTGCCAGAGCATGTGTGAATTTAGTTAATCTCTAATTGTGCTTTATTTTAGAAGTTTGTGACAGAAAGGCATCCTATTTCCAATGCAAGTCCCACTGATTTGATCCTTTTACAGAAAACCGAATTGATTGCCACACATACTGCTCAGTAATTCCATGGCGGATTACATTTGAGTTAAGCAGTGCTGGTTTGTGATCGCAGCGATGATGCCTGTGCGTGCGTGCGTGCATGCGTGCGCACAACAGAAACACATGTCAGCTATGTGTGTACAAGCACACCGCCGTTTGTAAGCATCGAGAGCTGGTAGTGTTGTGACGCGAATAGCCCCTGAACCGCTGGCCCCCACCCACGGCGTGTTCAAATAGGATTACCAATCACTTAGCTCCTATATTTGCATCCTTTAGTCCTATTCAGGGTCACTGGCCTCTTCCGCTCTCCTTTGATCAGTGATGCACGTTCGCCTCTGGTCAACGAGGGCACAAACCGAGACAACCAAGCGAGGCTGTGAAATTTGTGCCGGCGATGCAGCATGCTTTTCCTGTCCTCGACCCCAGCGCCATGGCCTTCGCCTTTTCTCTTGCTTTCTCTTGCCATTTCGCAGCACATCCTCTCCCTCTTCAATTTCCATTGGAAATTGGCTGACTCTGACGTTCTCTTATCTTTATCTAAAGTTCTAAGTTATAGTGTTGCAGCTACCCTGCTAAATAATCTCCATAGTTTCGTCTTTTATCGCTTTCATTTGCATATATATTAAATACATGTTGTATGGTAGCTGTAGGGCAGAGTGTACTGAGCGCGCGCCGATCTCAGCTGCCTTTTGTTTTAGCAAAGCACCTGCTGAACGAAGCAAGGCGGTTTTGAGCAGTATTTGAATGCGTGCTATATATTTTCACAAGGTAATGTCAATGTAATTATGGTCCTTTACAGTAGATTCGTTATATAGTGTGGATTGAACATTTTTATTTGGCCCACATCAGCATACGGATAGTAGCCCAGATAAAAAAAAATAAAAACGAACAAGAAAAAAAATAGCATTTTTAAAAATATAAACACTAGAACACTTGAAAATCCCTAGACGTTAGTAAACGACCAGTAAAATCAACCTGACAACAATGAAAAAATAGCTTAGTTTTGAACACCCTTTCAGTCATAGTCTACAGGCTATAGAATAGCCCTTGAAATTATGTTTAATGCTGATATGATCAAGCACTTTACTGTTTCATTTTGAGCCTAAAAAATCTGACACACACAAAAAATAATATTTTGTTATTTGAATGATGCGTAAACAACTAGCTTGCTCCGCATTATGATATACAAGCTTTTCGCAAAAGATTGTGTATAAAATAAGATTTGTTAAAAACACCAGATTGTAAGGACAACAAATAAAAAAAGCTTACATAAGCAAAAATGGGAGAATTTATATTGTAGGCTTGCATGTCTTATTACTTGTCAGTCTAGCCGGGCCTTGCAAGCTTTTATATTCTTTTTTTATTTGGATGGTCGGTAAATAATTTCTAAGATTCACACTGAATATCTCGCTGTTATCATGTGATTTGCAATGGCACTGCAAGTTGAAAGACATGGGCTTTATTTTCTATTTTTGTACAATTTAACATGAATAATAATATAAGCCCCATTCACATAACATTTTATTAAATGTACAGAAAAACACGAGGGATTGGCTCGTGCTAAAGCAAATTATTTTCAAGTGGGCTAATGAATGCTGCAATAATTGTAATGAAATAACCCCATCGTTCTAACCTGTTTAAATAAGTAATGTCAATTGGTTTATGGCATTTAATATTTAATGTACAGGTGTTTTAGAAATGGCGTGCTATATGTGAGTGTGTTAATTAAATCCACTCAATATAATGCGCAGCAGTTCTGTTAGCAGCAGAATAATTACAAATAAAAGCCGCCTACGGGCTCCTGTGGTGGAAAACCCCTCGTATTCCACGGGGAATGGCAAAATATGATTAATTCAACGAATTCTTTACTTTAAAGAATGACAAGAATTATTATATAGTCTATTCTTATTATAAGAGTGAAAGAAGGCAGATTTAAATCAGTCATTGTATTCCCTGCTTAGATTGTATCGTTTGTAACAAATTTGGAGAACTCCAAAACATAAAAAAGTGAAATGCTGTATCAATCGGCTTAAACGCTGTCTGACCAATTTTGCAATATAGCTTAATTCATAGTGAAAAATATTTGTGATCCAAAAAATTAAAAAAAAACCTGTTGCCATATTAACATATTTATGACATATTTATGACAACCAAGCAAGCATTCCTATATCTCAGATCACGACCTACATGAGCTCGGCATCATATTTAAGAAATAGGGTAAATGATGTAAAGCATATAGTTGTGCAATAACAATTGTCCTGCAATTTTATGCAGAAAATCGGCAATACAAAGGGAAAAGATTTGTGGCAGTACTTCTGCAACATATTCTGATGACTAATCGTCCAAATATTGAAGCAGCATAATATAACAAAATTAAACGAGCCTATTGCTGAAGTCTCGTCCCAAAAATACCTGCACACCGCGGTGTTTAACAGCGCATTTTACATTTGTAATCATTGCATTATACTTTAAGACCGATTTTCTCGAAAATCGTCCCGTCTTGTACTGTTTTAGTCATGACTGACTTGTCAAAATGCTGTGCAAAAATTTGCAGGTGCATTGAACGCAATGCATTAGCTATATCTACAAAAATAAGAGTACTTTTGTTATTTGCACTGTTAAACCCCTCGGTTAAAATGATTGTATAAAATTATAAACACATTGCTTCATGGTCTGCGCGTTTGATGATCATTACGTTTAATGTAAAAATAAACACATGGTTATTATTCACCCAAATAATTTTGTAATAATGTTCACAGCTCAAAGGCCGGCAACATTTGTTAAGCTAAAATTTCGCAAAAGATTCTTTATTGCCCACAAAACGTTTAATAGTCTACTTTGAACGCAATGTCTGTGCTGTTTTGTGTTAAAATAATACGTAAACTGTTCAGAGAGAATGTCGTGTTTTGGAACATCCACGATTTTGTTTTGACTGCTTAACTTGACCTTTTAACCTCGATGGGAGATTTTCTTGAATCTGTTCTTTGATCCCTAGACAGACTCCTGCACACTGCCTCGCCAAGACAACCGAAAGCCGAGCGCTTTTCTGCACTGCTGTTGTCATCGCACGAAGTCAGATGTGTGACGGCAACATGAGAAAACTATTTTTATGGTTGGTAAACGACATTCAAACAGTTCATTAAAATAATCTGTGGTCAAACACATGAGATACATTGGTGCTAGTTCTGATAGCCTACTATAAACAAATCCTGCAAATACCGAAATTAACACGTGGAATCATGAGCCTTTACATGGAAAAATATATATCTGAATGTGTCTACAACTGCCGTTCTTTAGGGTGAAAGATTAATCAGATATTGCCTCGTCCTACATTTAATAAAGTCTGGCAGATTCGCAGAGCACAATTGCTTTCATGTACAATAGTCTATTATTATTATTATTGTCATGCACAGAATTTTGCTTTAAGTCAATATAGCTGGCATCAGAATGAATACTGTCCAATCATAAAATTAGAAAAGCAAGAAAAAAAAGTTCCAGGATATATTTTCATTTGGAATAATAACGTTTTTGTACTACACTGCGAGCCAGGTTTAAATGTATCGCATATATAGGCTATTAGCTACATTTAAAATGCCCTTATAAGATCAATTAAACTTTTGTTTTCTATGTTTTATACTCCACTGTGTATTAAAATTACATAAACAACTTAGGTCTAAATCTTAAAACAAGCTGACCTCTAAAGAATTCTCTCAATATTATAATATCTTCCATCATAACAATTGCAATGCGTTATATATACACGTATAACATCTTATTATAACAGTGTAACCACAACCCACTGCCTCGGTTAGAAAATTAGAGTAGTGTAGAAAAGCATCGTTTTGTGATATATTTATTTTTTAAAAATCTCTCAGGGGTTTGGGAGAACGACAAGTCATCGTAGCGTTTAAATAGCTACAGATCGTGTAATTGAGATTTTGTAGACTAGAAAAAAAAAAAGTAAAGAAAATAAAAAACAATGGCACATTCTACCTTTTTTTATTTCAGACAACATAATCTGAACATATTAAAATCTTTGGCTTGAAGCGTTGGTTCAGTCACGCATTTGAAGAACTTGTGAGATAAGGGATTTAAGAGACAGGGCTATCACAAAAACTCTAACAAGCCTGACACTTAGGCCTACTGGAACGGTGAGCAACCACATTGGGAAAGGAGAAGAAACGTTAGAAATATTCAGCAAGTAAGGAGCAATATAGACATCCCCTTACCTGGAATTAAATATACACATCTTACAGTTTTGGCTATATATAAATTTTCATAGTGTTCGTATTTAGATGCATGTCCATATACTGTATGATAAACAGAAATTTGACAAACAGACATTTCCTTTTCATTTGAGTCATAAAAAATATGAAAAATCACTTTTTTTTCGGCGTCAGCGTCCATTGCCTTTTTAGGAGAGAAGCCGGGCCATTTTTATTCGCTATCGTCTTTATCTTCTTGAACTGTTGTTGTGGAATGGTTGTAGAGTCCTTGAGCCATGAGCTGAAGAGCGAGGCCGTTCTTATAGCCAGTGGACTTTTTGATTTTGGCCCTCTTATTCTGGAACCAGATTTTTATTTGCGACTCGTTGAGGTTGAGTTCCTGGGCCAGCGACTGTCTCCGCTGCTCCGTAATGTACCGATTCGCCTGAAACTCGGCTTTAAGTCTCTGCAGCTGTTCAGCCGTGAAAGCGGTTCTCGGTCGCTTGTCTTCCTTCTCGCTTTTCTTCTTTTTCAGTTTTCGTGTCCTTGGGCCTAGTGTAGAAACAACAATAAAACGAAGACATAAATATCATAAAGCAGCATGAACACTACATACCCACACCTGACGGAGAATGCCTTGGCAGGTGAGTGAAACGATTGATGCGGTGTTAACATTGGGGCCTACATGACACTGCCGTATTGGAAAAGCTACTTTAGCTGCACTCTCTTCAGAAACGTCGATAACGAATTCATACTGCAGTTCATTATCCGACAGCGCGGTCTCTTTCATATTGCATTAAACAATAGGTGTTTTCAGTGAAACATCACAATGAGTGTTTGTAATTATGTAAAACGAATGACCTTAGCTGACATGTGCATGTGTAGTAGGCTAATTGCCAAGAAGGCCAGGAAACAAAATGCTGCTAAAATAATAGTTCTAAACCGCAAATAGCAGCGAACTTTAAAATGCATAAGATATTTAATCATAAGCAATTAATATGTAGACCTGTAAAGTAAGCTTGAAAGTAGGCCTCAGTCCTCGATTGTCACTACAGCGCTTACACCCAGCGAAAATAGCGGGAAAGCCGAACGAGGCTTTGTGTGAGTCTGCTTTCTTACTAAAGCTATTAATCATTTTCTGAAATTTTAGTTTGCATTGAATTCACAGAGTGAAAAATGAACCATGTAATCCAACATTATCTCCAATAATGGCTTCTGTACATTACATTTTATGTGTATAGCTATTATTGCAAGCATCATAGTCAAAATGACAACTTGTCGACATATCAGTAGTAGGCCTATATTTCGCCCTGTTTTCCACAACTGGCATATCGAGTTATTAAGTTCGAAATCACCATGTTATTGTCAGTCACACAGAAAAAGAAAATCGATAGGTTAATCGGTTTTTGTTGTTCTGTGGCCTCTCTCTTTATAAAACAATAAACTGTGTTATTTGATATGAATTTCAAATGAATAAAACGTTTTAAAATGCAAATCAGTGTGTCAAATATAATTGAAAGACAGGGAATGTAGGCTACCTTTAAAAAAATCCATAACTTATTTACATCTGCACATGAGCAGTTAATTGCAAAAGTGTTAACAGAAAATGAGCCAAAATTATATTTTTACGTATCGACATTAATATTCTGCCTACATGTGTAGTCCTTCGTTTTGCTCAGTTGCAACAACTGTTCTGTTATTGTTCTGCAAATAGTTTTATTATTATTTATTTACCTTTAATATACCCATGAATAATGCAGATCCTATATGCAAACCCATTCATGCAAAGTAGGTGCAATTTAAAAAAAAAAA